GCTCTACATAAGGACAACCAGTAGTGCAGGAAATATCGAGGAGGAGCATGCGGTACACACCTTACTGACTGATTAAAGTGTTGAACATATTCCAAAGTATTTATTTAACAACACCTCTGAGATGGGTGATGCTTCTGGTCTCCTTAGATAGCAGGCGGTTCTGACCTTTTACACTATGTCCTGAGCTACCTGGTAGTTAGAAGAGTTTCTTGGTTTCTTTTCAAATATAGAGAAAATCAAGCACTCACACTTAAATATCATAGCAATGGCCAATTTAGGGAAGTCCAGTCAACACAAGGAGAGAACATGAAAGAATCAATCGAAAATCTTGCTTCAAGGCAACCACCATTCCAATCAATGTGTGAGCAAAATTGCTAGTTGGAAACTTGTCACATTTACATTTAAAATCTTAACGTCATTCCTCTGTAGCACCCTCTATCTAACCCCCTTCATTGGCTCTCTCTCTCTATCCCTTTTTTTTTTACTGAAAAGTCCTTCATCCTTCATTGTTGGCGCTGGATTGTTAACAAATCAGCTTTTATTAATTCATTTGTTCTTCGCTGCTTCCCTCTCTTCCATCCCACAAGATTGATAATTACTAGCAGCACTGTGGAGCTCATGGCCTAGTTATGGATGAAGAACAAAAAAAAAAAAAAAAAAAAGGAATCATGAGTACGTTTTATTAGAAGCACAGTGAAACAACACACAGGAGACACAATCCCACTTTCCTGCACGCATGATGCGGTGCACATATAGTGTAGCGTATATGTATGTGCGCAAGCATGCATGCATGCATGCACGAGGAGTGAGAGCTGAGGCGTACTCAAACGGACAGCAGCTGAGTACGAAAGACGGCAGCGGTACGAGAATGGACTGCGGGTGACGGCCACATGTAAACCCCCCCCCCGTTGTTCAATTTGGTCAAAGCAGAGGGAGAAATGCCCTTGGCTGCACAATCATGCAGGTCCTCCAGTCTCTAGTAGATTCGGATAAACACACAGAGAGATAATGAGAAGCAACACTTATAGCCATACACTGCACTGATTAGTAATAACCCCCCCCCTCCCACCCGCTTCCCCCCCCCCCCACCCCCCCCTCTTTTTCACAGCCAATACGCCGCACCCGCTGCTTATTTTTCAGAGCAATTACGCCGCAGCGAAGGGTTTAAATGTCCTTGATAGCAGCCGTGATGCATGATGTGATTACCACAGGTTCTTATGTGCACTGACCTCATTTGCACAGACACATGCATAATTGCTGTGTGAATGGTTTTGACTCCGGGACTCGGCTCAAGTCTCCCTCTGGTATTTTCGAAAATGATTATCAACATCAAGTGTAAATTGATGAGGGGCATCCCTGTGTGGACTGCGCCGCACTTACTGCTGAGGCTAGAGAGAGGCCCAATTTAATAAGCAAAACGCGCTGGCAAGTGTAATGATTTGACGCTCGCGCTGCTCGCAGTTTTGAACGGGGGGTTTTCACAGAACAGCCCCAGTGGAAACGTCGGGGGGGTGATGTTGATGTTGGTCAGACATGGGACAGAACATTAACAGAGGTTAAAAAAAAAGGAAAGATTTGTATGGGATAAACTCAGGGGTGTCACAGTTCCCCTTGAAGGTTCAGTTGTAAATGGAAGACTGTATAGATCAGGGGTACCCAACCCCTGGTCCGCGGACCAGTACCAGTCCAAAGGTCATTTGGTACCTAAAAAAATCTAGTCATATCAACTTGCCTTCTTTATTTAAAGATAATCTGGCAATCTTTTTAAAATAATGTCATTTAGACTCTGATACAAAAAGATGTTTTATTTTGAAAATTTAATGGTCTTGCAATGCTTAGCACCTTGTTACTGCTCTGTATAAACGGGTGGTACTGGCTGACTAGTCCTTGGAACAAAAAAGTTTGGGGACCGCTGGTATAGCTGTAATTACTCCATAACAGACTAATACGTGTTTCTTCACTTGATTATTATTTATTCAAGCTACAAATCTTGTTCATTGCTATGTAACAAAAAAAACTTTAATTTCTTAGGTTAAGATGCGGGCCGCATTTGGCCCCCGAGCCATGAGTTTGACACATGTGCACTAACTATACCAAGCCCTCTCCTGCACGAAGATCTACTTTAAAACATAGAGGCCTCTTGTGAAGAAAGGAGGGATATGAAAAAAAAAAACAGATTTAATTACTTTTTCTGATAAGCCACTTCATATTAATTTATATAATGATATTAATTTTAGGGATGTCAATAATATCGGCCGACCGATTAAAAATAATTAATAATAAAAATAAAATGTATCCTAGGCAAATGCTAATGGAAAAATAAATGTGCCATTGATTATTTACAAGAAAGGACAGCAACACCTGTTACTGTTGAGAAAAGTGCGTCGTTTAATAAATAAAGGGATATGACTGGATTCTTTTTGAGTAATTTAGTAAAACTGAAGTACATTTTTTCCACTGTGTCCCGGTCCCAAATAACCCACGTACCGGCACCAGTCCCCAGACCGGGGATCGAGCAACCCTACTTTACATGCTGGCAAACCATCATGCACAACAGCATCCGTGGGTGTTGTGTAACTTTTTTCTGTTCCGTTTGAGTTGCTTTTAACTAGCCTAATATTTTTCAGGAAACGTTTCGAATAATTAATCGTAGCGCTTAATATCTTAACTCAACATCTAAATGTGATATCGAATTATCGTGGCATCCCTATCCACTGCTCTTTTGTTGTCCTCCTTTGCTCACTGCTCCCATCCCTGGTCCTCCCACTTTCCTTTCTTCACCTCTTTTACTCACATCCCTCTCTTTTGCATCCGGCCGGGATAAGTAATCACAGCCTTCCTGCTCTGATGGGATGCTATATGAGGTTATAAGGTAGGATGAAAGCGCGTGTAATTCAAAGAATTAAAAAAAAAAAAGATCAAGCAGAAGTTGAGAGAAGAGGGAATTCTGTTTGGGAAACACACTGAGAGAAGCAGATGTACGCATGTAGGAAGGGGAGTAGGTCACGATTTCACTAATGTTTTCACCCTGGCACACTTCCTGTGGGAAATAGACCTACAAATCTTGTTCTTGCATCCTCTTCTGCTTCCTCCTGCTCTCTGCTCTCATCCCAAGAAGAGAAGCAGATTGCACAGAGCCCTGGGTCTTTCCCCAGAGACTGTGCACGAGGGCATGGCTGCAGTTTAGGAGCGGGAAACTCCTAGATGGCCTGTAGGTCTCATGGGAATGTTTTATTAACTGCTCCTTCATCCATGTTTTATGTCCTAGATTAGTGCTGCATTGAGGAGGACTGGTCACTTCACTGGGCCTGACCATGACTAAGTGAATCGCTGTGACGTCTTAGAGCCGCTGCAGGGATTCTGTCTGTTTCTGAAATTAAGGCAAAGTAGGCTGCAGGGACTCCGCTCATGAAACATTCAGCCAGTCAGTTTGAATCTTTTATTTAGCTGGAAACAACCCTCACATATGGCTTTATTCACTGCTGCCCCCTACCTCTCGCTTAAAAAATATACTCGGCGTGTAGTGCACAGCAGGCTGAAAATTGCAGGAAATTCAAACGGCAGTCTTCAAACACAGACTTGACATGTCCAAGAGAACAGTACTGTTTCAGTCAGGTAAATCTATGGTAGACTTAGTCGACTGAAAGCATCTCCAGAATTTCCAGTGATTGAAAAAATGCATCAATCTCTTTTGGAACAGTTTTAAGGTTTGATTCTCCAATACGGGCGCGGAAACAGTTGTAAGAATGAGGAAAATAATGTGCAATTCTCCAATAAATACATACAATTAAAACTCTGTTAGCTGTAATGCCATTGCACACGAGCCCAAAGAAATATTCTTGTATCATGTGCCACAGCTGTGGCTCTGCTTCTGAAGTGATCAACCTACCCGATTAACCAATGTTAATCGTTCTTACCGGAGCTCTTCTCCATTCGTCCCAATGCGTTACCAAAGTGTTCATTGTATTGCATCATGGTCTTCATAAACATAATGGATTTGTTATTTCGTTTTTATTTAAATTTCATCCATAAAGGGTTCGGAGATAAAAAGAAATTTAAAAAATTGTGCCTAGGTGCAACATTTGAGTTTCCTATGATCAACACTTTGAATACTAGGTTTAAAAAAGGCAACAGTTTTGTACAAAATCAGAATACGTGGAATTTTTGTCAGTTTTAAATGGACTTAGAAAGGATTTCAGGTAATTGAATTCAAACATCCCAATTTGAAATGGATATTTAAAATTATACAATAATATAATTATTGATTGATTGATTGATAACTGATACATCAATTATTTCTTCTACTATCAGATTCGAGCATCTACTCGATGATAATTACTTTCTTATGGTTCTATTCTGCTGAGTATAAAGTCACTAGTGTCACATGACTTGGATTTGTTCTCACTATTATTTGTGAGTCACAAATGTTTTGATGCAGAACTAACAAAAGCACGATGTTTTTTGATTAAATAGTAAAGGACAAAATGGAGAAAAAAAATTGTTGTGAAGACTTCAGTTCACATTTTAATGTTTTTTATTTGATTGTTTGGACTTTTATTGACTTATTTTAATTGGCTGACATATAGTAACTCAAAGTACTCTCGTATACCTGCACCCATTACAGGAGGATTACAGAGAGCAGTGCGCTCTGCTGGGTTATTAGTGCTTCATACTGATTCTTTTGTTAATTAGTAGCGGAGAGAAAGAAAGCTCTGCTGGGTTATTAGTGCTCCATACTGATTCTTTTGTTAATTAGTAGCTTCAGTTATCAAACATTGTCGTCTATCCAAATAAGAAAAAAAAAAAAGTTTTTATAATGAATGAAAATGGATCTAAGTTAACATATACACAAGGTCTTGAGAAATGGTCACATTGGACCGACCGTTCCTTTTTCCAAATTATTAACATAAATCAGCAGGGCTCATGCTAACTGCAATGCTAACCGCTTCCGACAAATGCACCTGTCAAATAGGATGTTGTTTTGCTGTGCCTCCCTGCAGAACCACAGCTGAAAGGCATCGTTACACGGCTGTACAGCCAACATGGATACTACCTGCAGATGCAGCCTGACGGCACCATGGACAGCACAAGGGATGAAAGCAGCACATTTTGTGAGTGGATGTAGTTTGTGTCTATACCTCACTGGATTTGTTTATAGTCGTGATGTACAATTTTAACCCAATTATTTACAGTGTCAACGACAGCACCGGTTACAGGAACTGAGTTAAAAAAAAAAAAAAAAAGAAGCCCATCTGTGAGCAAGCTAATATTCTCACTGGGAGCAAAGACTCAAAGATTGATTGAGCTAAACAGACACGGCACACTGTGGGATTCTGGCATCTGTCATGTTTGTTATAATTTATGTGGGAAATAACAATGCTTCAAAATCCCAGTAAACCTGTCAGCGTAATATATGCACTCGCCAAAATTCGGAAGTGGTGTCGACATATCGCATAAGGATATTGCCACAGGCATATCCTTTAAAACTAATGATAATGACTTGACCAAACTGCCTTCTAAAGTTAAAGGTGTGTCTAAAAAGCAGTTGTAAATAAGGTTCAGTACAACCTTAGAGTTTAAGAAACAGTATTATTTCTTATTAACTATTCATTTAAATATTAAAACCTGTTCACCTTTAAACTGCAAATGATATGCAGTCATAAAACTATTACCACTGACAGGTGAAGTGAATGATTACCTCTTTATCGTGGCACTCCATGGGAACATTGACAAGCAAGGATTTCAGTGAATTTAATAGTGATGGGTAGATAACTGGGACAGAACATCTCCACAATGGCAGCTTTTCGACTTCCTGGTCTGCAGTGCTGCGTATTTTTTTAAAGTTTTCCAAAAAAGTGAAAGCTATGGACTGACAAGATAGTCATGGTGGGCCAAGGCGTATATAGATGCAGGCAGAGGTGGGAGTATAGAGCACTAAACGGAATGTAATTAAGTAAAAGTATCTTTACTTAATTACTAAAGTAAAAGTAAAAAATACCATCGAAACATTCACTTGAGTAAAAGTAAAAGTTACTTTGTTACTTCAAATTACTTGATGTACCAAATAAACATTCACTTGAGTAAAAGTTACTTGGTTACTTCAAATTACTTGATGTACCAAAGGACGAGTCCTACATCCAATCAGTAACTAGTTGTTTTTAATTGACAATTCAAATTCAACACATTTCATTTTTCCCCCCAGTAATGGGTTCTTTCACAGTGTAGCAAAAGTAAAAGACTTAAGTTAAAATGTACTTATACTTATAGTATATGTATTATAATAACTATTCGTTTTAACAACCTTTACAATGATCCATGACAAGAGTGTGAACAAATGGAGGTACTGCACGTTCCTGCCTTTGCTCCAAGCTCTGTTTGTTGTGACAGAACATGTTGCTACCGTCAGGGTTTTGAGGCAGTACATGAGTAGAGTGAAGGTGACATGACATTGTGTTTACGCAAACATAAACACCAACACCAACAAGTCACAGCAACGGGGTCTCTCTCTTCCTTCATTCATACGTGTTCTTCCTTCCTCTCCACATTCGTCACCTCTCAATTCAGCACAGTTTAACCTGATTCCAGTGGGACTGCGGATCGTGGCCATTCAGGGCTCAAAGACAGGCTTCTACCTGGCCATGAACAGTGACGGATATCTCTACACGTCGGTACGTATGCTGCACAGAACTAAATCATGATGTAATTTAAGGCCCGTCAATTCAATTCCATAAGACATTAATACGTTAAGATAAGATAAGTCAATGTCTAAACCAGAGGTTCTCAAAGTGGGGGGCGTGCCCCTGGGAGGGGGGGCAATGCCATTGCAGGGGAGGCGTGGATGGAGTGAAATTAATATTTGGTAATAATATTGCAGAGAAGGCCACAATTATTGCTGTTTTTGCCCTCGCTCATTTCTGAAAACAAACTGTCTATTTTTTTTTTTTTCAGTGGAGCCTGCAAATATTTTCTAATGAACCAAAGGGGGCCCATCAGAGAAATTTTGGGAACCACTGGCCTAAACTAATTTACATTTGAGGAATTACATATGTGTATTACAATTAAAATCTATAAATCCAATCTGTGAAAGTCACTCTTGCTGCTGATTTCCGTGTCTTTCAGCAAAGTTTCACTTTTGCGTTCAATTTATTCAAAGCAAGTCTACTCATATTTTTTAAAGTCGGAAACACACAGCCAGGTTGAGAGTATTCTCCCTTTCTTCCCCCCCGGTGACACCTTACCATGCCCCCCCGGGGTTCCCGCCCCACTATTTGAGAATTACTGGCTTAAGTGCAGTCCTATTACTCTCAAGTTATCAAAACGCAAAAGGTATCTCAAATCGTTTTGGACAATTTAAGTGACTGAAATTGCTTATCCTGGAAAACAAAAGAAAACAATTTAAAATTAATGTCCTAATGCAATATATTATTATTGAATGATGGGAATGAGAGCAGGGGGAAAGCACAGCAAGAGAGATTTATTTCTAGACAAAAATAAAGCAGATCAGAAAAAAATAATATTAATTAGCGAAAGCAACAGAAAGCTCATCAAGTGCTACACGTCATTTAGATAAATGACTTAAAATGCACCAATAAGGATAGGCAGTTGATCTCAGTGCGGCGTGTCCTGGAATAATTAAAGGTCAAATCATTCGGTAATCAGTGCTACTAAAATATATTTTATACCCTGATATGGAACAATAACAAACCCGAGTTTAAACACCACATTTGAGGAATTACATAAGCGTATTACAATTAAAATGTATAAATCCAATCTGTGAAAGTCACTCTTGCTGCTGATTTCCGTGTCTTTCAGCAAAGTTTCACTTTTGCGTTCAATTTATTCAAAGCAAGTCTACTCATATTTTTTAAAGTCGGAAACACATAGCCAGGTTGAGAGTATTCTCCCTCTCACGCCCCCCAGTGACACCTCACCATGGCCCCCCAGGGGTTCCCACCCCACTATTTGAGAATTACTGGCTTAAGTGATGGCAGGAGTTTGTGGTATTAAATGTAGCGTGATACTGCACGTCTTACATATGGCTTTGTCCTTAACACCCATGACCAATTTAGACTCAAATTATTGGGCGTCTTTTGACTCTTCATCTGCAAAAGAAATGTTGTCTTCTTCAAGTTCCGTTTCAAACATTTCAAAGTGCAGTCCTATTACTCTCAGGTTATCAAAACGCAAAAGGTATCTCAACTCGTTTTGGACAATTTAAGTGACTAAAATTGCTTATCCTCGAAAACAAAATTTAAAACAATTTAAAATAAATGTCCTAATGCAATATATTATTATTGAATGATGGGAATGAGAGCAGGGGGAAAGCACAGCAAGAGAGATTTATTTCTAGACAAAAATAAAGCAGATCAGAAAAAAATAATATTAATTAGCGAAAGCAACAGAAAGCTCATCAAGTGCTACACGTCATTTAGATAAATGACTTAAAATGCACCAATAAGGATAGGCAATTGATCTCAGTGCGGCGTGTCCTAGAATAATTAAAGGTCAAATTATTCGGTAATCAGTGCTACTGAAATATATTTTATACCCTGAGATGGAACAATAACAAACCCGAGTTTAAACTGTTCAAATACAACAGGCCAGTGTATTATATCTACTCTACTGTCCGGTGGTAGTAAGTACAATCGAAGTACACGTTGGCAAGGAGGAGCTTCCTGACTCAGGTAGCACAGATGAAATCAGTCATGAAAGTCGGAGATAGAGGTAAAGTGCAGGCGGTGGAGACGCTGAAATTGTGCTCTGCATTTTAAAAAGGTTCTTCCCGTCTTGGGAATTCTCATCACGGACACTACGTATTGCCTTTCTCCTAGGCTTTGATTTAAATTCATTTTGGCTTGAGATGCTTGTTATGTAAGGCACCCAAGCCTTTCAATATGTCATGGTCGAGAAAAAGGGATTTTATTTTAGTTTCCGCAATTTTGCGGGGAGGGGGGGGGGAGTTATTCAACAGTCACTCTTTTAAATGCGCAACGTTCAACGCATAATGTGCAGTCATTCGGTTTGACAGTTAAATGCTTCCGTTTGATTTATGTCCCTCATCCGGGGTTTGTCTCTGTAGTTCAGCTGGGGTTACCCCAAGGTCATTAAAGAAGATGGGTTGGCTACAGAATAACACTGCCTTCATGTCGGGGCAGGTGAAATGGCCATTGTCTTCAGTCATTACGGTAACTCACTCTATTATAGGGACATTGATGTCAGTCTGTTACCCTTTTCTTACCATCATTTTTTTTTTCTCAAGACCCTTAGAGACTACCTTGAAGGATTGGGACTCTAACGTCACCAACATTTTAGGAGACTAATTATGAAGGGTAATATAGGAGGGGCAATCGCTGGTGTCATTTCTGAGTTTTTGATCGGAAGGATATTTCATTTGACCGACGGGATCCGGGGATCCTTGTTAGCTGAATGCTTCAGCCCTTGGGGATGTGCAAAGATGTCGGACTCTCCTTATCCTTTTCGTTCTAATCTATTTTATAACCGGGCAACCTCTCTGTCCTCTCCGAGTGATCTCCCGTCTCTTCTTCAGTTCCCCTTCTGTCTCCCACACTTTCCACACCGCCTGCTCTCTGGCCTGATTAATAATGAATGGAGCAGATCATCTATCGATCCCATCCTCTTTGTGTTAGCTCAGCAGAAGATATCACACCTGTCAGAAGATACTAAAATAACTTTGCGATGCAGTGGGCGATGGTAGTGGGAGATTTTCTTTCAGGGGTGAAGCCTCATTTTTGTTATTGACATGAGGGTGCCATTTTGTAGGGAATAAACAGTGTGCAAAGTGAATGAAGTAAGGACATCAAGTCCTGAGTTTAAATTCAGCCCCGGACAGTGCCTCCATGTGTGAGCAATGACCCATGATTAGGGGGATCTCTTCCTTCTAAATCCGCATGTATAAAGGGAATAAGACGGTACCACATACTGGACTTTGAGGAACTCCTTATTTTCACTTACACCATTCAAGTGCAGTAACTTACATCTTAAAGTCTGATCCAGACTTTGTAATAGATTAAAAAAAATACAAAAGTCCAGTTACTAACTAGTGTTGTTTCTGTACTGTGACATAATCTCCATGTATAAACAAATGTAGAAAATAAGCTCATTCATCTCAATGAATCGACAGGTCTTAGCTAAAACTAGCTAAGCTGTGCTTTTCATCCTATCAAGGCGTTTTACCGGTATCAGGTGTAATACTGAAAATGGACCAAACGTGGTTCAATGTCACATGTTGAAATACATCAGAGACCCTTTGTTAGCAGACCGATATTCACTATTGCAAAAGGTTTGGGTTCTCGTGAATGATGCTAATGTGGTTACAGAGGGAGGTATTCAAGATAAAGTGCACTTGTGAAGCAGGAAAACAAAACATTCTTCTTCTCTGTTATCATAATTGCAAGCCAGTTGTTAATGCATTTATGCATTGAAAAGCATTAGGAAAGGGCAATGCAGACAAAAAAACACCTTAACAGTATGATAATAACAACAATAACACAACAAGAATAGCACACTAATTATAATTCCTAGGAAGTGTCAGCTTAGTATAGTTTCACAACAATGCAGCAAAAACACGAGATAAAGAAGAAGTTATTTTTCGTGCAACGGGGGAATGTTGCAGCAGCGGAGGCAGGATGTGAACAAAAAACAATTTAAAAAAAAAAAAGGACCCAATGTATTAATGTATTACAGGGCATAAAATATACCGAGATGAAAAAAAAAAAAGAAAATCCAGAATGATTTAATGAGTTAAGACTTGGAAATTATTGAAATTACATACAGCAGTTATAGAAAAGAACAGCATAGCTTATTCTTATTGAATATATGCAGAGGTACATCACAGACTATAAGTCATATATAAATTAAAAAGGACCACGCTTCTATTCCTTTTTACCCAAATGCAGACTATTTCTTATTACCTATTATTACAGTAACTTTCGGTGTTTCTGTTTACGGTTTCGGCCAACAATTTTATTTTTGGTGCATCCCTTATATATATACATATATACACATATATGTATATATATATACACACACACATACATATATGTATATATATGTGTATATATATATACACATATATACAGATATATGTATATATATGTGTATATATGTATATATATATACATATATCTGTATATATGTGTATATATGTATATATATGTGTATATATGTATATATATGTGTATATATATATTATATATATATGCTTTACATGTACAGTATGTAAATGTACAGTATGTAAATTTGTGGATTTGACATTGTTAGCGTAGGTGTCAGTGTGTTCTTTTCTGTTTTCCTTTGGGTTTCGTATATTTAGTATCATATTTTTCTTCGTGTATTAACATATCTTTGTGGGGTTTTTTTTGTTTTTTTTTTTAGGAAAACTTCACTCCTGAATGTAGATTCAAGGAAAGCGTGTTTGAGAACTACTACGTTACGTATTCCTCCATGCTGTATCGTCAGACCCAGTCAGGACGGTCCTGGTACATTGGTATCAATCGTGACGGCCAAGTCATGAAGGGCAACAGGGTGAAGAAGACAAAGGGAGCGGCGCACTTCCTGCCCAAAGTTATAGATGGTGTGTATACTTTCTGTCGATGCAGCAAAGTTCATATCAGTCAATGAAATGACAGATAAGGTATTTAAAAAGAGGAAGTGCTGAGGGGATGACGTGTTTTTTTTTCCTTCAGACAAGGACATTTTAGTCGCAGTCGCTGCAGACTTAAGATGAAGCCAGAAAAACACTGTGTGACTGACTGATATCTGCCATACTTCCACTATGTTTACAGTGAGAGCTTTTGTCCTAAATTGTTACCAAAGTAGTGGTAGCACAGTTAAATCTAGACTTTTGCCGTTTTGACCCTGGCGCTGGGCGGCAAAACTAGTTTCGCTTCGGGTTTGCGTTCACCCCACAAAGTAATTAACTAATCCACTTTGAGATGGGCTAAATGAACTAAGTCAGATACAAAATGGATGGATGGATGGATAGATAGATAGATAGATAGAAGCAGCAACAGCTGTAAATAAACAGGAATAGCACACAATAAGATTAGATAAAATTACAAACAAGAGTAGCAGCACACCATCAAAGAATGGGGAAACCGTAAACAGTGGATTTTAGTAGATTAGTGCGTCAATAGTAGTGGATGATTAGAATTAGTGGTAGTAACCCCTATGAGAAGGAATCCCATATTAACTAATATGGAAGTCGGTGTGGAAACCTTGGCGCTGCATTAACTGCATCCCTAATTGTCAAGTAACATCTATTTATTTCACAGTTGCAATGTATAAGGAGCCGTCACTACATGAGCTCAACACTGAACCAGTAAGCCCTCCTCGGAAAACAATCAAGACGTCCGATTCACCTTCTCCCAAGAATGGACATAAAGAAGGTCCCAAGGCCGATGCTTCATAGCAGAGGAGAATGAGGGTGGGACAACAAGATGGCAGTAGGGACACTGACAACATCCAGTCACTCACTCTACTACGACAAGGTCAAGGGAATGCCTCCTGTGGGCCACCGTAATCCAGAAGTGCACTGCGGGATGCTAAGTGTCAAAGGGTCAGCGTCCACCAGCAGTCCACAAAGGCTGAGAGTGGAGTCCACCCTCATTAGTCATAGAAAGAAATCCCAGAAATCCTTTCACTTTTTGCTACTCTTTTTTGTTTTTAAAGTCTTTTACCCTTTTTCTGAGCAATATACTCATATTTCTGCTTCACTTCTCCTTACCGGACCACTGACAACATCAGCTTTTTTGAAACATCAACCAAATGTCTCATCCTGAATCCCAGTATATTCATCACCGGTGCATTTCCCCAGCGTTGACTTGACCGTCATCTTAACCTCTGGGGCCTGTTTTTTTTTTAGACATTAAGGTGGCATCACTGTGGCACAGCCAGCCTTCCAGATACCACATGCCAAGCAGCTCAGCAATTCATGAAGGTCGGCTAAAGCTCAAAGTGAGATTAATCAGCTCAGAGAGGAAAAAATCTACTGGAATCCCAGGTCAGGCCATCGAAGGAGCAAAATGGGTGTTTGGGATGACATGGATAAAACCCATTTGATTACAAAGAATACAATAATGTTTAGTAAGTATTTGAAAGCAAAAATTGAAATGACAGCTAAGTTATAAGTGGCATTGACCGAACTTCAGAGTGTGCTAACCCAAAACAGAGTCTTGCTTGCACACTTCAAAATCATTTGTTCCAGGGTGGAACATTTTAAACTCTTAACCTAGGCTATTATTGAAAGGTATCAAAAAGCAATGGCATATCATAAGCAAAAAATATTCCCTTTTTTTTTTTTTTTTTTTTTTTTACAGCACTGTGAATGACTGAGAGAGAACCACTCGCTCCTGTACCAAATTGCCCCGTAGTAACATGGAACCATCTCATTAAAGGCAGCACAGGAAGAAGTGGGTCAGGTTTTAAAGACCGGTGTGGGTCTGAATTACAGCGAGTACTTCACTCAACATCTGCTGTCAGCATGAAGGCAGGTTTAAAGCCAAGCATCAAAAAGAAAAGGAGCCTCCCAGCTGGGGCACTTGCTAATCTGAGGATATCAGCAAGCTTAACCACTCAGGTCTGAGTGTGGTTGCATTTTAAGCATCGCATACACGGGGGCTCGGTGCAGCGTGGGCGAGAGAGGGCGCAGTCTCAGAGGTTAAATAGAGATGCATCACATGTTGGGGCGTCTGCAGCAGATGGGACAGAGCAGTGTTTTCAATGGTCAGGAAATGGGGGAAAATTCTATTTTAAGCACTTTTGGGAGTGAGATACAGTTCCTGGATGGCTCCATATGTGATTCTAATATGCATCAAAGTCAAATGTAATGTTTACTTTAATTATAACCCAGAAGAATCAGAAGACCTTTTTGAGTCAAGGTTTGGAAAATTTTTAAAATGTTGGGGAAATTGGGGTGGCAGTTGTGGCTTGGCGGTTAAGCAAGCGGATTTGGTTCAGAAGGTTTAAGGTTCGAGTCCACCAGCTGCCAAGTTGACACTGAGGTGATCTGACCATGGCACCACCTGCTCACTTTGGTGATGGGTTAAAAGCAGAGGTCACATTCCGTTGTGTGCATTAGTGTGCCGTGTCACAACGACAAATAATAATTCACTTTGGCTGAAATGATGGTTGGTTTCTCCCTAAATGAACCTTGGACTTAGCTGTAAAGTGTTTGAATTATACTTCCTGCAATTTAAAAAACAAAATCAAAAACATATGGTAATGTATTTATTTCGGAGCTCATGATAAATCCAAATCCTCAAAATCAAAAGTAATATATAAAATGTAGTAATTGTAACTGTTGTGTCATTGATGATATTGGTTTCTCATCAAAAGGCAATCTCTTTGACAGATCTGTTCTATAATTATTAATTGTGGATTCTAAATACAAGCTGTCAGTACTGTGAGTGCTACTGGGTAACTCAAAGGGCGTTTAGGTAAAATTAATTTCAGCAATTTTTTTCCTTTGGGTAAATATCTAATAGAACCAAAACAAAACTGCTTGCTTGCTGTGTCAGGTGGATCACTGCTGGGGCTCCTGGAAGAGTTTTTAAAGGAGCTTAACTGGAACGAGGTGCTTCGGTGATGGTGTCTAGAGGGTAACAGAAATGTGAAGATGGGTTACGGAAAGGTGAAACAGAGGTCATGAGGATGCTCTGTGCACTGTGGGTAAAAGTACGTCAGAAGCTCGGCGCTAAGGATGTGAAAAGGTGCGTGCGTGTGTGTGTACGTACAGGCAGTTATTTGGGAAGTGCGAGGGATTAGCATGTGTTTTCTCAGGGGACGCTGATAAAGAATTTCTGCTGTAAAGCAAGTGAGAGTTTAAGGAAGCAGAAGGATGGGATAATGAATGTGTTACAAAGAGGGATGTAAGACACCGTGGGTTCTTCGTGACAGGAAGTGTATGGAGGAATTATTTTTTCAGATTTTTTTTTTTTTAACGTTGTACTGTCGTTCGGTTCTAACGATTCTGATTTTGTCACTTTTGTTCTTTTTTTTTTGCAAACCATAAATATTGCTGCTACAATCCTTCCTACAAATGAGCGAATCCAGGATATTTTGTTACTGTTCGTCACTCCACTCTGATAAATGGGGCACAGCAAAGGCTTCTTTATCACACACTTCCTTAATCTGCCTTAAGATTGGTGACGGTTATCCATGCTAGATTTCTTATTTGAGAGTCAAGAACAAAAAAAATGTATGAACTGAACAAGAAGAAGAAAATAAATTACAAAAAAAAAAATACATTTTATGTTGCCGTTACGCTTCACTTTCAAATAAAAAATACACTATTCATTATTTTTAATAAAAAATGTGGCTAGAGAATGTGTGAAACTAAATTCATGAAGCCTTAAGTTGCGCTCTTGGGAGGCTACCACGTTTAAATATCGGCGCTATTATAATTATTGATGAGATTTAAATTCGTAATAACAAAAATACATGAATGCTCCATATATTCCTCCATATATTTCCTGAAGAAAAGACACTAAAGAAAGGAAATCTACAGGTTACTGCAAGTGTAAAATTGACCGGAACAGACGAGGAAACTTTATGCTGTTTGTATCTGGTGTTCAAAGTAAAAATTATAAACGGTAGGAGTCAGAGCTGTGAAGTAAAAGCCATGTCGTAGGTACAGGTAGTGATAGGTACTGACGTTATTGTGCAGGTTCTTCGAAGAAGTCGAGAAGTTATTTGTGTGACGCCGCATATTTTAAACGTCTGGACGAGAGGGAGAAGGTAGAAGCTGAAACAGAGTAAAACAAACTCTGTCTGTACTGTCGTTGGTCTGTTTGCTTGTGTCGAATACCGTCGCTTAGTCTGTGTGTGTCGTGTGATGATAAGATCTGTGTGTGTGTATCTGTGATTAAGAGTCAGGTAAGACAAGACAGAGGCAAGGGGAAAAAAAAATAAAGGGCATGAAGCTGAAACTGTGATCGATAGACTCAATAAAACATGAACAAGAGGACGGCCACTATTGGATGGGTACAAAAAAAACAACCCCACCCCGCCCCCGCAAGGTCAGAGCAGGGGTATTTATATGTTCATAATGAAGTGAGAGGGATCAGTGGTTTCGATCTGTAAACTTGGGGGGGGGGGGGAAAAATTCCAAAATATCTG